TTCCCAACTGCTCTCTCACCCTAAAACAGCTTCCCAACTATTATCTCTACCCAAAAACAACCTGTAAATCACTACAGTTATTTTGTAAAAGGTTCACTTATTACACAATTTAAATTCTTAAGATATCAACAATTCCTATTACTTTTCAGGTAGTACAGCATAATGATGGAACCACTGCCTTTGTAGTTACTCACCATTCAACTAATATTTACTGACTGTCATACATATATGCCAGGACTGATCTGGGCACTGGGGATAAAGTAACAAAATGAAGTCTTTGATCTCATATTGTTTACATTATAGTAGGGCAGAAAGATAGCAAAACATACAAATTGACTGTGACAACTCTTATGAAGGAAATTAAAGGACTGTGTTGATTAAGTTAAGAGATTGTGGGGAAAGAGGAATGTCTAGAAAGGATGCTCAAAGAAGGCATCTCTGGGAATAGTTTTTAAATTGGGGGAGGGGGGTGCAGGGAACAGAGGAGCCAGTCATAAATACCAAATATAAGTTCTAACTTGGTATGCTCCAGGAACAGCAGAACGACAACCTGGGTGGATGAGCATGACCAGTTAATAATTTAATAGGGGAAAGTGGTCTAAAAACATTTATCCCTTACACAGCAGATTCATAGAATCACAAATGCCCTAAACAGCACTCTGGCCTCAGAAGCAGCCCTTAAGGCATTCAGATCTGGCTAAAAGGCTCATGAGAGTATTTCAGGTGTGGAAAGCTAAGACACTGTGACAAAAAATTACCCAAATGAAAGCTCTCTGTGAGTGAGATCCTAGCGGAAAGAACAGGCCATCAAAGAAGGAGGTACCTTTCTCTGAAGGGAGGAGAGAACTTCCACTTGGATTATGGCCTTGGCTAAATAAAGTCAGAGTATGTGAACTCAAAAGACTTCCATTGCCTTGGCAGCTCACGACAAGAGCCTTGGGTGATTACTGACGTTATAAATAAGAGTGTCGATTGTTAAATCAACAACAGGAGTCACTGTGCACTTGCTCCCCATGTAGGACCTCTGCCCTTAATGTGTTGTACCATGAGAAATAACAGTAAAACTAGTCTTCAAACAGTACTTTATACTTTGTATGTCTCTGTGGGTGCAAACTGTTGAAATCTTTACTTAGTATAGAGTTGATTTTTTTTTTTTTTTTGACAGGCAGAGTGGACAGTGAGAGAGAGAGAGAGACAGAGAGAAAGGTCTTCCTTTGTGCTGTTGGTTCACCCTCCAATGGCCGCTGCGCTGCGGCCAGTGCACTGCGTTGAAGCCAGGAGCCAGGTGCTTCTCCTGGTCTCCCATGCGGGTGCAGGGCCCAAGGACCTGGGCCATCCTCCACTGCACTCCCGGGCCATAGCAGAGGGCTGGCCTAGAAGAGGGGCAACCAGGACAGAATCCAGCACCCGACCGGGACTAGAACCCGGGGTACCAGCGCCGCAAGGCGGAGGGTTAGCCCATTGAGCCACGGCCCCAGCTGAGTTGATCTTTTATAGATAAAGATAATTAAAAATGAATCTTAATGAAGAATGGGATAGGTGAGGGAGTAGGAGATGGGAAGGTTTGCAGGTGGGAGGGTGGTTATGGGGGGAAAATCACTATAATCCAAAAGTTGTACCTATGAAATTTATATTTATTAAATAAAAGTTTTCTATAAAATAAAAAAAAATTATCCCTTTCACCAGCTGTGTTACACTAGACAAGACACTTTGCTTCTCTAGTTTATTTCCCACCAATAAAACAGGAATAAAAATAATCTCATATAAGGATAAAAAATCTTCACATGTGAGGATTAAACAAAATGATGTCTGAAAAATATCTAGTAATTTTCATTATTTATTACCAGTACTACAGATATCACTGAATCAAACTTCAAAAGCAACTTTATATTTTAAATTCTATTTATTAAGCCAACCAGCATCTATTGAGAGCATAGTCCCTGACTCTCATTAACAGAAGGATTAAGAGCTATATGTGTAAACAAGGTAAACAAGTAATTAAAATATGATGGGTGAGCTAACAAGTTCAGTACAAATTCTCTTCACCATCACCCAGTCAGAATCAACTCAAAAAACTTCTTTCTGTAAAGTCTACTACTGATGTTCACAAGAAGTCATATGAACGCCCTTGGTTTATAGTTGGTCTTCATCAGCGAGCTCTTGGTTGTTTCCATCAGTTGCTACATTTTAAAAACTTAACTGTTTGTGTATTCAAACCAGTCCATGACAGTTAAATTTAATATAACTATACAGAATAATTAAATATAAGCCAAAGAAAACTTGAGTAAAGAAACATGGACTCATTTCTATGAAACAAAATAGGATGATTTGAAGATTCCATAAAGGTAAATAGCTTTGAAAAACTGCTATTGTATTAGATATGCTGTCTTAATTAAAAATATAATAAGGAAAATTAAAATCTAAAACATTTGTACACTGTTGCCCAAGTGGGGTCTTTATGTTTCTATGTTAAAAGAAAAACTGAAAATGGTTTATTAAACATAGCAAATAATTTCAATCAGGGTATCTCCATTGAATAAAAGGTCCTGTGCTACATCAACATGTAAATTTAAGTTTAATGAAAGGAACCACTGACTTTATTCTCAAATAGAAAAATGGTTCTGAAAAATAGTCATTCAAGGCACCATTCTAGCTCATACCTTGCAAAAATGATCTTCACAAAACGTATACTCTATTGAATCTGATTATTATCTATTTCCCATACTATTTGTACTTTCCAAACTACAAAGACCCAAGATTTCTATCTTAAAAGATAAACAGGAGGGACCAGGTTGTGGCACAGGTGGTAAAGCCGCTGCTTGAAGTGCGGACATCACAGTCCCAGCTGCTCCACTTCCAATCCAGCTCTCTGCTATGGCCTGGGAACGCAACAGAAAATGATCCAAGTCCTTGCGCCCCTCTACCCATGTGGGAGACCTGCATCTTTACAAAGACATTCAATTTTGCACATAATTCTATGGAATTCACAGACCATAACAGCTATACCTGAATCAGTCAGGGATCTATTGATCTCAAGCTTAATAACCACTGATGACAAATTAAGAAAAGGCTAAGGAAAACTATCCGCATAAAATGAAGTAGAAGATTCAGCAAAGAGAAGTCAGAGAAGTCTGAAAGGTAAGAAGAAAACCTGCAAAGATGACATAAGGAAGGAGCTGGACCTGTGGCATGGGAGATAAAGCTGCAGCATCCCATACAGGCACTAGGTACCAGTCTGAATCCGGCTGCTCCATTTCTGATCCAGTTCCTTGTTAATGTGCTTGGGAAAGCAGCAGAGGATGGCCCAAGTACTTGAGAATAAAGTCAATGGCTCTTTTCATTGGTCTACACCTCGACATGGGGAACCAGAGAAGCTCCTGGCTCCTGGTTTCGGAGCAGCCCAGTTCCAGCAATTGTGGCCATTTGATGAAAGATCTCTCTATGGCAGGCACTGTGGCACAGGTTAAGCCTCTGCCTGTGGAGCCAGCATCCCATATGAGCGTCAATTCTAGTCCCGAATGCTCCTCTTCTGATCCAGCTCTCTGCTGTGGCCTGGGAAAGCAGTGGAGGATGACCCAAGTGCTTGTGCTTCTGCACCCACATGGGAGACCCAGAAGAAACTCCTGCTCCTGGCTTCAGATTGGCACAGCTCCAGCCATTGCAGCCATTTGGGGAGTGAACCAGCGGATGAAATACCCCTCTCTGTCTCTCCCTCTCACTGTCTATAACTCTACCTCTCAAACAAATACATAAAATATTTGAAAAAAAAAAAGAGATATCTTTTGCTTTCTGTAACTCTGCCTTTCAAATAAATAAATAAAGTTTTAAGAAAGAAACAAACTAGCCAAGGGAAGAATTTTTCAGAAGGACTGAGCTAAAATAGCAAAGGCAGTACAGATGTATAAAGCACACATACCAGAGTCAGCCTTAGGTCTCCCTAGAGACCTTAGGGGAGCAGTAGGGTGTGCAAACCAAATTGAGGTTGTTTAAAGTACTTAAGACGGGAGGAAGGGAGAGTAAGCATGGACAACTAAAATTCTCTTAAACGTATACACCCAGCATTGTACTCTTTTCCATGTCTTGCACAAATACCATATTCTCAAAAAACTTGCTTATACTGTTCTTACAACTCTAAATTCTCTTTCCACCTACAAACTCCTAATAAAAGTATGTTACAAACATCAAGAGCTTTCAATAGGCCTAATATATAAATCATACATTCTATATTTTTTACAGAGCCTACTGCATACATCTTTTATGAACAATAAGTTTTCCTATCACAAAAATCACAATATTCTTTGAATTAACCAACTCATGATGCTACTCAGGATGGAGAAAGAAGTCTGTCACAAATGTTCCAGAGTTAATCAGTTCTTTTTCCCTTCAGAAAAGGAATTATTAGTAGGGAGTAAGAAGGAAATGTGTTCTATGTATAACTGTAGTTTCAGGGCTAGAGGGTCAGAGATTAAACAAAAAGTGGAAAAAGTATAAACCTGGTTTGGAGGAAAAAATAAAATGTAAAGTGGCACGACAGAGAATGCTCACGCACCTGCACCTTCTACACATCTTTACTGCAGAGCTGTAAGCCTTACACCTCAGTCAGTACAAGGCCTCACAAGCCTCTGTATTTCATGGCTCCAAAGAAGCTTCAGCAGCCACCTAGCCAGCTCCCCGCGCTGCCAGCAACCCCAAGAGAAGTGTCACAGCCCCAGTACCTGCTCCCTCCCGCCTCAGAAACGGAAGCTGCCCCGGGGGCTGGACTGGCGCCGAAGTAACTCGCTCAGTCTACTGCTGAGCCGACGCGGTGGGGAACGCCACTGAGTTCGTGTCTGGGCCAAGGAAGGGGTCAGCCTCAACCTCCACCTCAGCTTGGCCCGTCAAGAGAGCGCTGCTCCGGTACCGAAGAGAAACCGGACAGCCCAACTCTCCGAGGGCAGCGGGTGTCCCGAATACCTGCCGCGGACTTTTCACGTTTCTGCTCCCGCCCCGCCCGAAGTTACCTTCCCAAGTGACATCGTAAAGCTCTGAGATCTTCGCCATCTTCCCAAAACCCAGAGGCAGCGGGGTGAGAGGGCGGGGAGACGCCGTCACGTAACCCGCGACCGGGAGGTGGTGGATTACGAAACCACTTCTAATTGGTCCAGAGGACGGAGGGGGCGGTACCCGCCGCGCACGTGTGCGCCGCTCTGTGGTGGGGGCGTAAGGAGTAAGGGGCGGAGCTTGCCCGGCGTTTCGCGGCGCACCCGGAGCCTGAGGATTCCCGGGCGTTGGTGAGGTGTTTTCTGTTTAGCGTGTATTTTAACAAATGCTGTGTTTTTTTTTTAATGTCTTTCACCTCCGGTTTTTCATTTTTCCCTACATCTGTGTATTCCTTCTCTTCATACTCTCCAGTGAGTACTTTGTTGCCCGCATGGCCTGCCGCTACTCAGCCTTCAGCCCCGAACACCAGATTCCCACCTTCCCTAAAGGGATTCTCTGACCCTTTCCTTTTTAATGCCCTACAAAATTGGTAAATTCCAAGATTCTCACTAAGTCTTTTGAAGGAACTGAGTAGGAATCTGCCTTTAGCCTTCATGTTCCTGTGGCCTGGACTTGTTAATAGTCACGTAAACACCCTCCCGCCAGCTTACAGCCTTAGTTAACACTCCTCATGCGTGTTTCTAATTACTCGATCCCTGTCTGTCTCCAACTCCGGATTTGAAACTCTGTAAGCCTTGCCAGTGTGTCAGTGGTCATTAGTAATGAGTGAATGTCCGAATGACACTCTGACTCTCCCACTCTTGGCTTCTCTTTATTCCTTCAGAAGGAACCTCCTTCCCCACCCTTTCTCACCACCTTAGTTGCTTTCAGGAACCTTTGGACCTAGTCCTGTCGCGCTAGGGAGAAATGTATGGGCTGCAAGCAAAAAAAAAAAAAAAATGATTTTTGTTTTAATTTTGCAAGCCAAAACACATGAATTTACTCCTGGAAGCAATGTAAATATGAAATTAGAGAGGAAAGGTACATCAAGTGAGTAAAGAAGGCTAAAAATACGTGTTAAACAGAAAAACAGTGCTCCGGATACCTGCATTATGCCACAGAATGCTTGGGTTCAAGTCTCAGCTTCACTCCCTGATCCAGCCTGCTGCACCTTGGGAGGCAGCAGTTGATGGCCAATGTGGCTGGCATTTTGCCACCTACGTGGGAGACTGGGATTGATTTCCAGGTGTCCAGGCTTTAGACTAGCGCAGTCTGGGCTATTGGAGGTATTTGGGGAGTTAGCCAGTAGATGGGAGACTCCTGCCTCTCTGCCTTTCAAATAAACAAATAAATAACTAGGTTTTTTGTTGTTGTTGTTTTGTTTTTTAAATTTTTTTGAAGGAATACAAATTTTGTAAGAACAACTTTAGGCATATAGTTATTCTTCCCAACATACCCACCCTCCCATTGACACTCCTACCCCTGCTCCTCCCTCTCTTCCCAGTCCCGTTCTCCTGTGTCCCATTCATTTTCAGTTAACTTTGTATGGCGACCAACTCTATACTAAGAGTTCAACAATTTACGCACACACACACACACACACACAAACAGAACTATGTTACAGTTAATGCTCATAATATAACTCATTGAGGACAGAGGTCCTGCATGGGGAGTTAGTGCACAGTGACTCCTGTTGTTAATTTATAATTAACACTCTTATGTATGACATCAGTGACCACCCAAGGATCTTCTCTTGAGCTGCCCAAGCTATTGAAGCCTTCAGTATTTAGAATAGGCCATTAGCAAAATGGAAGTGCTGTCTTCCCTTTAGAGAAAAGAACATCCTTCTTTGATGGCCACTTCTTTCCACTGGGATCTCACTCACATGTAGAACATTTTTTGCCACAGTGTCTTGGCTTTCCATGCCTGAAATACTCTCACGGGCTTCTCATCCAGACCAGGAAGTTTTAAGCGCTGTTTCTGAGGTCAGAGGGTTACTTAAAGGGTTTGTCAATTGTGAGTTTGCTCTGTGGACTGCTTCCCATTTTGGAACAGTCCTTTTTAATTCTATGTATTATTACTAGACACTTGATCCTACTTATATGATCACTTTGACACTTAATTCTATCTATATGTTCACTTTAACACTTAATATGATCACTGTAGCACTTAAGATGGCATGTTTAGCACCCAGCGTAATGGAATTTGGCATCCCATGGCAAGTTTTTTACTGTACACTTAGGAGTAAGTCCGTAGGAATGCATGCAGAACTATACGGCTTTACAAACTTCCTCCTCCCTCCCTTATTCCCACTCTTATTTTTTACTGAGATACATCCTAAATTGACTCTGTACACATATGATTAACTCAGTGTTAAATAAAGAGTTCAACAAATAATACGAAGAAAAGCAAAAAACAATAAAGCAAAACTGTCCCTCAAAAGTGAAGACAAAGGCAGCTCAAGTCATCATTTCTCTAAGTGTCAATTTCACATCTAGTAATTTCATTTTAGGTGCTCTATTAGTTCTCACAGATCAGGGGAAAATATGGTGTTCATACCTTTGGAACTGGCTTATTTCACTAATATGATATTTTCCAGTTTCATCCATTTTGTTGCAAATGACCAGATTTCATTTTTTTAAACTACTATGTAGTATTCCATAGTGTACGTTTCCCATAATTTCTTTATGCAGTCTTCATCTGCTTCCATGTCTTAGATAATGTGAATTGAGCTACAATAAATATGGGCATGCAGGTAACTCTTTTATTTACTGATTACATTTCTCTTGGATAAATTCCCAGGAGTGGGGTGGCTAGGTCATATGGTACATCTATATTCAGATTTTTGAGGTATCTCCATACTGTCTTCCATAGTGACTTTACCAGTTTACATTCCCACCAACAGTGGATTAAGGTGCCTTTTTCTCCACATGCTAGCCAGCATTTATATTGTTGTTTTCTGTATGATAGCCATTCTAACTGGGGTGAGATGAAACCTCATTGTTGTTTTGATTTGCATTTCCCTGTCAGGTAGTGATGCTGAACATTTTTTCTTTTTTTATATAGAAAGCTTTTATTTAATAAATATAAATTTCATCAGTACAACTTTTGGATTATAGTGTGCTTCCCCCCATACTCGCCCTCCCACCACCAAACTATCCCACCTCCTACGCCCTCTCCCATCCCATTCTTCATTAAGATTCATTTTTAATTATCTTCATATACAGAAGATCACTTGGTTACTCCTCCACCTGTGGCGCCAGCATACCATATGGGCACTGGGTTCTAGTCCCAGTTGCTCCTCTTCCAGTCCAGCTCTCTACTGTAGCCCCGGAAGGCAGTGGAGGATGGCCCAAGTGCTTGGGCCCCTTCATCCACATGGGAGACCGAAAGGAAGCACCTGGCTCCTAGCTTCGGATCGGCGCAGTGCCGGCCGTGGCAGCCATTTGGGGAGTGAACCAATGGAAGGAAGACATTTCTCTCTGTCTCTCTCTCACTGTCTATAACTCTCCCTGTCAAATTAAAAAAAAATACAGTTGTAACATACTAATAAGAGTCATGATCGGCCGGCGCCGCGGCTCACTAGGCTAATCCTCTGCCTTGCGGCGCTGGCACACCGGGTTCTAGTCCCGGTCAGGGCGCCGGATTCTGTCCCGGTTGCCCCTCTTCCAGGCCAGCTCTCTGCTGTGGCCAGGGAGTGCAGTGGAGGATGGCCCAAGTGCTTGGGCCCTGCACCCCATGGGAGACCAGGAAAAGCACCTGGCTCCTGCCATCGGATCAGCGCGGTGCACCGGCCGCGGCGGCCATTGCAGAGTGAACCAACGGCAAAGGAAGACCTTTCTCTCTGTCTCTCTCTCTCACTGTCCACTCTGCCTGTCCAAAAAAAAAAAAAAAAAGAGTCATGATCTATAGTTTAAAAAAGACCCATGAAGATTGTGTTTCTCAGTTTGAGGCCCTGAAGTGAAATGATTTGCCCAAATTTTAGCCACTAATTAGTAACAGAATGAGTGATTCATACGGAGATCAGTTGTTTAGATCAAAGATGAAAGATGAAATATTTACAATAAAAATGTATCTTAGAGAAATTTTGTCATCATTAGTACCGTTTGGGGTGGGGAAAGTGATTGTTTATCAATTATGATATTTCAGCTGTCTAATAAAATTTTCCTTCCATGGGTGCACTCAAAAAACTAGTGTGTCAGTGACAAAAATTCTATATTTTTCTTTAACTTTTTTAAAACATTTATGTATTTATTTATTTGTAAGGCAGAGAGAGAAAGAGTGAACCAGATCTTTTATCTGCTGGTTCACTCCCCAAATGGCCACTACGGCCAGAGCTAGATCAATCCAGGGCCAGGAGCCAGGAGCATCTGCCGGATCTCCCACAAGGGTGCAGGGGCCCAAGCACTTGGGCCATCTTTTCCCAGGCCATAATAGAGAGCTGGGTCAGAAGTGGAGCAGCTGGGACTTGAACCAGCAGCCAAATGGGATGTCAGCACTGCAGGTGGCAGCTTTAACTGCTAAACCACCGTGCCAGCCTCTTCATTAACATTTTATAGCATTTAATTGTAACTGTAAGTAAAGAAAAATGTTCTGTAAATAAAATCATAAACCTGAAAACATAGACATCAACTTTATCTTCTTTTTTTCTTTTCTTGCCTTTTTTTTTTTTTTTTTTGACAGGCAGAGTGGACAGTGAGAGAGAGAGACAGAGAAAAAGGTCTTCCTTTGCCGTTGGTTCACCCTCCAATGGCCACCGCAGCCGGCGCACCACACTGATCTGAAGCCAGGAGCCAGGTGCTTCTCCTGGTCTCCCATGCGGGTGCAGGGCCCAAGGACTTGGGCCATCCTCCACTGCACTCCCGGGCCACAGCAGAGAGCTGGCCTGAAAGAGGGGCAACCTGGGAAAGAATCCGGCGCCCTGACCGGGACTAGAGCCCAGTGTGCCAGCGCCGCAAAGGCGGAGCATTAGCCTAGTGAGCCACGGTGCCAGCCCAAACTTTACCTTCTATAACTACATCTTTACAAGATGTCTCAATATTTTGCCCTTGATTCATTTGAAAAAGAATTTCCACTCTCTTAAGTTAAAAATATTTAACCTAGTTTCTCTGAACACTGCCCAAATAGGAAACAAATACCTAGGAAATTTCCAGACAGCCAAATTTTAGTTTATATTAGTACATGCATTATTATAATGTGCTAAATGCTATGGGGACATTATCTCATGTAGTGATCTCAGAGACACATGAAAATGGCAGATGAATGTCATCTATGACATCATTTTTCTGTGAAGCTATCTTGTGTTTCAGTG